CGCTTCTTCATTTTCTGAAGAAGGGTCTATGCCCGAAACGTCAGCCTTCCTGCTCCTCTGATGCTGCTTGGCCTGCTGTGTTCATCCAGCTCTACACCTTGTTATCTCTGTATAACTTTAAGTTTGAATTATATTTTGTATGCTGTGCGATAAGCGGAAGACATGGTCAGTCACCTTTACAATTTTATTAGGGAGCTTGGGGATCTGGTGCCGGGAAGTCTGGGAGTTAGTTTATCTCCATACATTTTAATGAGGTTTTATACCCTTGCCTGAAGAGTCAAGGAGGTTTAACAGTTAAGTTCAGTCCATTAAAAATTGTAGAGGAAAACCAACTCCATTGTCTTCTGATAGGGGGCCAGTGACACAGAAACAGACCAATCCAGAAAGTCAAGTCAACGTGCGGGTGTACCAGAATGGAGGCTGGGCAGCTGACTTCAAGGAACTCATTAGGGTTTTCCCTGAAGCTTGCAGTTTGTTTTCAGGTGTCTCAGGGAGTCATACCAGATGAAGGGAATAAACATCTGGGAAGTACAGAAAATTTAACAAAAGCAAGCTAGTTGCAGCTTCCCCAGCCGGAGTCTGAGCATATGGTCTCCGCGGAGAGATCATAGTGACTCTTCACTGAGATTTTGGGATTTTGCTGAGGTTATAGGGTTAATGTGAGTCAGAATCTTTTTTACGTCTGTAATGAAAACTTTCAAATCTTTCTTTTTGAGAAGTGTAATATAGTTTAGTTTTCTTGTTGTTTAATAAGGGTTTTCGTTTTTGTATTAGAAGTACACTGGTAGCCTCTTGTAAATATGTTCAATATTTGACCTGTACAGTTTAAAAAGTTTGGACCTAACAAGATAGGCTCTGGAATCTGACTGCTCCAGTATTTACATCAGCTGGGATCAAAACACAAAAAAAGTAAGTTCTTTATCTCTTCTTATAATCCAGAATAGTTGCTCTACTTGTCCAAATGACAAATACACTTGCACATTAAATTGCCATAATTAATATGGTTTAAAACAACTTCATGCATCCTGAATGGCACACTCAAGTAAACATATGAATTTGCAGGCTACTCAGTCCCTCAGGCTGCTCTGATTATTCCACATTCCTGCCATCTCCAATAACCATTCACCCCTTGCATACCAGGAATCTATTACCTTTGCCTTAAAATTTAGACTCTCCTTCATTTGCCCTTTGAGGAAGAGTTCCAAAAACCCACTATGGTTTCGCTTCCTCTGACAGTTCTGTGCTATGAAAGAACTGTCAGAACAGAAGTGCGGCTTTACATTTGAGGGAGCCGGAGCAGAATCTCCTCTCAGAAATCTCCTCCTTTCGTTTAAAAAAAGGGCAAGTGGCAATCTACACGAGATTGCCACTCCTTGGAGAATCCAGCCCCACATATTTCTAAAATGCATGACTGCCAGACAGCAAAACAAAAACCAAAGTTTTAAGAAACAGGATAAACGGCATATATAGAACTAGACTGCATACAGATTGGAGAAGGATACGCTATACCTCTGATCCGCTTAATTTTGCCAGGGTCAGTTAACTGGATAGGCTTTAAAAACCTCCGTACTGGGCACGAGAACATAACCTCACCGCCTCCTCCAGGGGCCATGCCTCTCCGGACTACCTTTCAAAGCAACCACAAAATGTGCATTCAATCACAAATAACCATAGTAACACTGTGTTTATGCAGCCAATTTTCCATGATCTGGGTCTCTTGACAGATTAGGTAAGACTGTCGTCACGTTCAAAGGAGACAAACATTTAATTTGCAATTAATTAACTAACTATCTGTACTCATGTAATCATATAACCTACTTTGGAAGTGGAGAGAGGTAGTTTAGAAACACTCCACTGACTTAGGGCCACTTCTAGCTTAAAAGGATTATCTTGGAATGTAAATAGAAAAGTTACAACAAGTATAATCTTTACTTACAAGTCACTCAACAGATCTTCATGCAAACGTGCATTGTGCCTTCCTTAAAATAACTTTTGCCAACTAATTTTTAATGCAATCATGTGTTTTTAGATTTTTCAATCATAAAGATAATGCTTAACGTACCATCCAATAGTGTATCTTAATTTTTGCATTTAAGCATACCACTGGATTTATTCAGCCTTACATATTGCAGCTACTCATATCAATAAAGGTTTCTGTCTGCAATGCAATATCAAAACATAATTCACTGTTCTCAGAAAAACAGCATGATGCTGATTCATCAAAGTGTAAAATAATGACTAGAACAGACCATCCACAGTGAAATATTCTGCTTTTTAAAGACTGGCCAGATAGTTTTGTGTCTGCATTCAAAGTGTTGAAAAATGGTTAGCTGTTAGTGCACTAACCTTTATAAGACAATCCACCATCAGGTCGCTATTTGGACAGAGAACACCAAATGTCTTTTGAAAATCAGGTGCAAGTTTTAACACATGGGCACAAAGGGAGAAGCAGCTGGCATTGCTATGTGAGGACACTCATTATCATGCAGACCAAAAGCATGCACTGCTAATGTGTTGCAGAACAAAAGGACTTCTGCTGGGTTAATAACAAAATGGAGTGGTGATGATAATGGAACCCCTACTCAAAGAATCTGAGTCCTTGCTACTGGAAGTCTATTCAAATATGCTTAGAACAATGAGCGAAGGGGACTTTATTTAAAAGGATACTGGAAGATTAACCCAGCAGGATAGTGAGCAGACTTCTTTTAAATACATTCATGGTACGGGAGTGTCACTAGCTAGGCCAGCATTCCTTGCCCATCCCCAATTACCCAGAGGGCAGTTAAGAGTCAACCACATTGCTATGGGTCTGGAGTCACATGTAGGACAGACCAAATAAGGATGGCAGATTGCCTTCCCTAAAAAGACATTAGTGAGCCAATGGTTTCATGGTCATTAGACTCTTACTTCCAGATTATTACTGAATTCAAATTCCACCATTTGCCATGGCAGGATTCAAACCCAGGTCCCCAGAATATTACCTCGTTCTCTGGATTAATAGTCCAGCCATAATACCTAGGTATTTATTTGTACAGACTCTTCAACAGTGCCCGCTCCCTTGACACTGACCCTTGGATAGTGCAGCACTCCTTCAGCACTGACCCTTGAACAGCTGCCCACTCCCAGTGCTACCCTTATTTGGGACATTAAGTGCAAGGCCAAGTATTTGCTAATGTATATGCCATAATAATGTCTGAGCAGTACAAAATGTTCAGTTTTACTGGGGTTTGCTTTGTCTGTACTGCAGTGTTTTAGTTACCTACATTTAGTTAATGCTGATGTCAGTTTGTTTACACAGTTAAAGCCTTAAAATTTTACATCTTGTCATTCAATTCCTTTGCATCAATCACTGGGAAATTTTCTTTCATTTTAAAACTTTTCATTTCTACAGGAATTTTAACAAAGCAAGAGCTTGCATCAGATACAAGACTGACAGGTGGACAGTTAAGTTCGCTCACTTCATCTCAGCACCAAGCCAGAAATTATCTTGTGAAAACTGCTGGAATAAATGGGTTAGATGAAAATTTTACCCAAATGCAATCTGTGGCTCTAAGACAACAACCTTGCATTAGTGCAAAACTTTAACATCGCACGATTTCAAGGTAAAAATGCACGGCACTTCATTAGTATATGTCAATCTTTATTTGATCAAAATAACAAACACTTGATCCAAAAATAAAGAAAGATCGAGGACAGTCTTAAAATAGAGAAGTGTGGAAAGACTGAGGTTTAGGGTAAAACTACAAAGTTTAGGGACTAGATAGCTGAAAGTGTGGCGATGGGGCTGGGGAATGCACAAGAGGCTACAATTGCAAGAATAGAGTCCTCAGATACTTGTAAACTGGATGTGGTTGCAGCAATAAGAGGAAGTAGGACCGCAGAATGATCCGAATAAGCAAATGCTAAAACCCAAGGGCTGGTGGACTTGGAAGCCAGTAAAATCAGCAAGTACAGGGTCTGATGGATGAATGGGAAATAGTAAGAGTTAGGATAAGAGTGACAGAGTTGTGAACAAGATCAAATTTATAGGATGTGAAATTGGGTAGTATACACCAAATAATACTAAGCATATCGCTCGCATAATCAAATATACTTTATTTCCAGCCAGAAGAGGGAAAGGTTTAAATTCCATCAGTTTGTTCAAGGTTTAAATTCAAATTGCAAAGAAAAAAAGGAATGTTTTCATCTATATTTGTTATAGCCTTCAAACACAAGATTTGGGAACAAAATTACCCATTCTGTAGCAAATTAGTTGCAACGTCAGAGCTTTTTAAAAAAAGCTTCTTTTAAAAAATTGCACAGAAAGAACATTCTACTTGATTCTCTGCAAAGCTTTTACAACTTTACATTAAACTTCACCAAGACAAAAGGACACTTGATATTTCTCTAGGTGAATATGCCTCAAAAATAACATTCAAGACAATGTTTATTCAAAATTAACTTCTCCAGTTAAATTGAATTTGGGCTTAATTTGCTACTACAGACTGTAAAAGGAATTGCACTAAACTCTACCACATCATAAAAAGGGAAAATAGGTCTTAAAAACTAGCAATGATGTTCTTACCTTTAGCTCAAGTCCTTCACCATCTATACGAAACCGTTTCATTAAGGGGAGGGCTGTCACCTTAAGAGTATCAACCTTAAACAAGGGATAAAAGTATGGAAGATGATATTAAAGCCAGAATTTATAGCAGGGTGACCAGATAAATGTGTTTGCTAGACAATAAACTCAACCTGATCAAATATATTCAAATGTTTCTCCCCTTCAGCTTCTCAAATAAAATGACAAGGAAAATACGATTTTGTAAGATCAGTGAATGCACAATGGCACCATTGCATGAAGTACCTTTGCTAAACTTTCTGACTGATGAAATAATATTTAAAACTAAGGTAAAACCAAAATGGACAGGTAAAATCTCTTGATTACTGATCAAGATCAAATTATTGCATGACATTTCACTCAAGTCTGTTAATGACACACACACACACACACACACACACACACACACACACACAAACTGAAGCAGCTGGAAAAGCTCTGCAAGTCTGGCAGCGCCTGTGAACAGAAATCAGGTTTGAGTCTGGTGACCCTTCCTCAGAAGTGATGGTGGCTAGGAAAATGTCAATTAATATGCAGAAGATGGGGTGTGGGGAGGGGGTAAGGAGTAAACGATAGGTGAGGATAGAACCCAAAGAGAGAGAAGAGCAGTTGGACAAAGAAGGCGATAACAATCTGACTAGGAGGGTGATTAGCTGCTAAATGGAGACTGTTAGTGGCTAACAATAGGTAAGGCAGACTGTGATAACAAGGTCTGGTGTCTGGAGGTAAGGGTTAGACATGGGAGAGTTCAGGCCCTAAAATTATTGAACTTGATATTGAGACCGGAGGGCTGCAGGGACTCCAAGCGGAAAATGAGGTGTCATTCTTCCAGCTTGCACTGAGCTTCGCTGGAACACTGCAGCAGACCTGAGACAGAGATGTTGGCCAGAGGCTGAGTGCCAGCTCTCAGACACCTATCTTCCCCTGCACCATGACCCCATCACAGAACATCAGGCCATTGTCTCAACTACAGCCACTGACCTCATTTTAGCTGGTGATCTCCCCCCACTGCCGCCAAGCTAATAGACCCCAGACTCTCACAGTTTGTTTCTACCTCCTTCCGAAAATCCACCAACAGGACTGCCAGTGAACCCTTTGTTTCAGCCTGCTCCTGCCCCACACAACTCATCTCCTCTGACCTTGACTCGGTCTTTCCTCCAGTGGTCCAGTCCCTGCCCACGTATATCTGCGATTCCTCTGACTCTTTACACCAGTTCTGTAATTTCCAGTTTGCAGGCTCCAGCCATCTCCTCTTTACCATGGATGTGCAATCCCTTTACAAGTCCATCCCCCACCAAGATGGTCTCAGGGCTCTTCATTTCTTTCTACAGCAAAGGCCTGAATGGTCCCCAAACACCACCTTCCTCCTCCGCTGGGCCGAGTTCTTCCTCACTTAACAACTTCTCTCATTTTATTCAGGTCAGAGGAGTGGTCACAGGTACCCGCATGAGCCCCAGTTATGCCTGTCTCTTCATGGGATACATGGAACATTCTTTGTTCCAATCCTATTCCAGACCCCACCCGTAACTCATTCTCCGATATACTGACAATATCATTGGTGCTGCTTCCCCCTCTCATGCAGAATTGGAAAAGTTGGTCAATTTCGCTTCCAATTTCCACTCTGCCCTCACTTTTACCTGGTCTCTGACTCCTCCCCTCCTCAACATCTGTTTCCATTTCTGGGGACACACTGACCACTAATATCCACTAAACCCACCGACTCCCACTGCTACCTGGACTATACATCCTCGCACCCTGTTTCCTGCAAAGACTCCATTCCGTTCTCCCAGTTCCTCCATCTCTGTCGCATATGTTCTGATGAGGTCAACTTCTACAAGGGAGCTTCCAAAATGTCCACCTTCTTCCTCAACACCGTTGTCAACAGGGCTTTCAACTGGGTCTGACCCATCTCCTGCACTTGTGCCCTCACTCCCTTGTTCTTACCTACCATCCCACCAGCATCAACATCCAGAAATCATCAGCTGCCATTTCCGCCACTTCCAGCGACATGCTACCAGACACATATTCCCCTCCTCTCCCTTGGCTGCCTACTGCAGGGACTATTTCTTCCGTGACACTCTGGTCCACTCTTCCTTCACCACCAACATACACCACACCCCTCCCCTCAAAACCCCCGACAGCAACTTCGCCTATAACTGCCATTTGTCTAACATTTGCCCATTTACCTCCTCCCTCAGTATCCAATGGCCCAAACCCACCATCCAGGTGAAACAGTGCTTTAGCTGCACTTCACACAATCTAGTCTACTGCATTCACTGCTCACAATGTGGTCTCCTCTACATTGGGGAAACGAAGCGTAAACTGGATGACCGTTTCGCAGAACAGCTACGCAAAAAAGACCAGCTTGCAGTTGTCAGCCACTTTAACACAACACCCTGTTCCCTGGCTTGCTGCAGTGTTCCAATGAAGCTCAGCGCAAGATGGAAGAACAACACCTCATTTTCCACATGGGGACCCTGCAGTCTTCTGGACATTTTAGGGCTTGTTCTCTCCCATGTCCTAACCCCCTATTTCATACACCAGGCCTTGTTATCTCACAGTCTGTCATTACACACTATCTAATGTTAGTCACTAACAGTATCCATTAACAGCTATTCACCCTCCTAGCCAGATCATTATCTACTCCTTTGTCTGTCCAACTGCTCTTGTCTCTCTTTAGGCTCCATCCCCAAGTATCCTTTACTCCTTACACCACGCCCCCCGACCCTACCTTCTGCAGACAAACTGACATTTTCCTAGCTACCATCTGTTCTGAGGAAGGGTCACCAGTCCCAAAACTTTAACTGCTTTCTCTTCACAGATGCTGCCAGACCTGCTGAGCTTTTCCAGTCACTTCTGTTTTTGTTTCCGATTTACAGCATCTGCTGTTCTTCTGGTTTTTATTCTGTTAATGACAAATCTGTTTCAGCATCAGCCCCAAAGCTGGCCGAGTGTGGGCGATACAGTTTCTATCCTAAAGATTGTAAAAATGATTAAATGGCCTGCAACGGGCCCAGGCTGCATCAAAAAGTACCAGGACTTTAAATTAAAACCAGGTTACCAAGTCTATTGATTAGCTCAGTGAACAAATAATTGAAAGACCTGCTCCAAGTAAGAGTTCTAATCAGAACACTGCAGTGCAAGACTAAATCTAGTTTTAAAAAGCCTGAAAATAAAACTTTAATATAGTTAAACATGACCTTAAGGTTAAGAGATGGTCTTACAAATCCAACTGGATTGGTGAAAGGAAACATTACTCAGATTGGTTAAATGAAAATCCAATCCCATTGAAATGGATTGGTACTCCACTGTCCTCTGAAGTGATCTGGCAAGTCATTCAATTGTATCCAACCAATCATTGTATCTCAGGCCAACTAGGGATGAAGGACAACAAATACCAGCTTTGCCAGTGAAAACAGGTGAAAGAAATATATAATTAACATTAGCCATGTTTTTAAAATAGCCTTGGTATCCAGATTATGTTATCAATTGATCAAATAATAAACATTAGCACCTCAAATATCTCTAATATAAGTTGAATTGCAACTTACAGAAGGATCCGTTTGATCATTGGTGATGCCTCTCAAGATGGCTTTTAATGGTCTCTTCATAAAAGGAGCTAGATACAGCAAGGCTTCCAGGTAATAGCCAATGGAGCGTTGTGGGTGACAGTCATGTTCAATCCTTCCTCCATGCAGAAGCCCTGGTTGGTAATATAGTGTAGTACCTGAAGAAACAAAGTGATCATCAAAATGTCTATTTCAAACATGAAAAAAGCCTTTAAAAGTTCATTCTATGGGAATACCCATACATGGCTTTATCAGAGCAAAGAGATTTACGTTCTCCACATACGGAGTTCACAAATTCAGCAGTACTGTCAACTGAAAGCATCAAACAAGTGTCAGGCATATGCTCATAAGTCTGTGTAGAGGAAAGACCAAAGAAATCAAAGCACGGTTACTGACCCACTTGTCCTCAGTTGCCAGTCTAATTTAGTTGCAAGTTATGCTCTTTATCTACAGTGTGCCAGTGTGTTAGGGCGTAATGTGGCGTCCTCTTGTTGTTGTCTATTTAGTTCTTCTCTCGTGAATTTAATCCGGTGAATGCATAGAAAACAACACCAGCTTCCGTTTCTGGATGTCAGAGTTGAACGTTTGACCAATGGGGAGTTCCAAATCTCGGTATACAGAATAGCAACCCACACTGACCAAATCCTCAAATTCCATAGCAACGACCCCCACGTCCCAAACAAAACTATGTTAGAACACTATTTAAACGGGCCACCACGCACTGCAACACTCCAGAACTACGCAGGAAAGAGGAAAATCACCTATACAAAATCTTCGATATGAACGGCTATCCCCGCAACTTCATCTGCAGGTGCCTACTAAATAGACAAGTAGGAGGGGAAGTGTGTAAATCTAATGTCCAAAAAGGAACAAAAAGAAAGCAAAAGCAAGATTGGATTGAGAGAAAAAAAAGAGGACATATTTAAATTAGGCCATTTTCAAAACCTCCTGAAAAATTCAAAACCTTAAGGATGGACCCTGAGGCTCATAAGTCTAATAGTTCATTTTTGCCAAAAGGAGCAGTAATCACCACTTATCACATCATTGGATGGGTGCTTTATTACTAATCACTAAGCTAAAATATCTGCACTGGGTTTCATTCGTCCTCACTGCACTGAAATAGTTTCAGAACGTTCAACACACCGCAACAGTGGTGCAGCTGGCAAAGAATTTCAAATGCAAACAGATGTTTCAGATTAGAGAGAGAGATATATAGAATTTTAGTATGATCAGAAGTTAGAAATAGCCCAAATAAGGTGTCAATTTTGGCTTGGTGGGCACACTCTTGCCCAAATCCAAAGACTACAGGACTAGAAGTGGCACAAAACCTAGGCTAATATTCATGTGAAGTAAAAAGGGTGGCCTGTACGAAACCTGGTGCCATCTTTGGAATGAGGGATTAACCATAGCCTTGTCTGCTCTGTCTAAAGAAACCACAGCATTGTTTCCAAGGAGAGCCAAGGAGTTCTCTCAGTGTGGCTGAGCTAAAAATTAAGAAAGAAAGAACCTGATCTCTACCACATTACACGTGTGTCCTTGCTTCTGCATCTTCAATATGCCATCTTTTGACAATTCTTCACAAATACATAATAGCTTTAAGGTGGTTTGGAAAATCCTGAGGTCATGAAATGTCGATAAACAAGGGGAAAATAACAGTTATCGTCCTTAATATCACATGTGCTGGAAAACGTCTCGTCAAGAGCTGATGCTCCTCTAAAACCTCGATACAATAGTGAACAACTTGAACTGCTTCAAGAAGGCATAATTCAGATAATCAATATAAAGCATTTCAAAATAAAAATCACAAATTGACTACAGAACAGCAACGGCATTGTGTTGGTCTCATGCAGTGATTAATGACTGCACCCAAATCTAACAGGCCTAATACAGATAAAATCTGAAGTTAGTTAAAAGATCATTGAGCTCATTCAGATTACCAACATTATAACCAACATTTCCTGTCAAGAGGAAACACCAAAGCCACGATTTGTGTTTTAATAGCACTCACCATGTTTTAAAAAAACCCTGAAGAGCTCTACATGACTGTGGGCAGTGAGAGGACAACAACCCAGGGAGACAAAGGAAGGAAAAAAACGCTTTCTGACTTTCAACATTCCAAAGCACTTCACAACTAATAAATTACTTTGGAAGTGCAGTTACTTACAATGTAATTAGCAAATGTGTTATAAGCAAATTCAACACAGCAAAACTCTCAAACAACGAGATGACTAGTTAATCTCTTTTCCTATCTAAAAATACAGAGCTTGAGTATCACTGAAAGAAAATAATTTGCAGAAGTTTTAGTCCTGTAATCATCAGGACAATTTGCAAGAAATAAAGTTAAAATAAAATTTACACAGTATGAGTGGACAGTGCTGATTAGTAGAGACATTAATTGGTGCATTCTCCATGGTAATGATGACATAGTCTAAGTGCCTAGTTTTGTTTACATTTTCATCATAGAGTGATGTGGAGGTGCAGGTGTTGAATGGAGTGGACAAGGTCAGAAATCACACAACACCAGGTTATTGTCCAACAGGTTTATTCGAAAACACAAGCTTTTGGAGCTTCTCTCCTTCTTCAGATGTTAGTGAAAGAGGTGGAATCAGACGTAGAATTTAAAAGTAAAAGCTCAAAGGGTCACACCACTGATCAGGATATATTAAACAAACCTGAGATGCTGTTAAATCTTTAATCAGTTTGATAGTTTTAATTGATTAATATGTACATGTAAATCCCCAAATTCCTTTCAAGTCACTGTCCCAAGAGATCTAAAGATTTTATCAGTGTAAAGAAGAGGTGGCATTTTAGGTCAGACAATGCATGTTAGGTATGAGGCCTTGTTTAGAATTTGTTTGTGTTTTGATTTGGAGTCAGACTGGTTTTGCTTCTAAAGTAGGAATTTATAAAACACCACATTGACCATCTCTAAGTTGCGTGCTTTTTGAACAAAATAGAATGTATCTGCAAATACAAATTCACTCCATAGATTTGCATGTGGGAGAGCGCGCGCTTGTGTGAGCAAGTGTTGTGTGCGTGTGTACGCACGCGTATAGCGTGTACAGTGTGGTGGGGGTCACCTGTAGTGCGACATGAACCCAAGATCCCAGTTGAGGCCATCCTCATGGATACCAAACTTGGCTATAAGCCTCTGCTTGCCTACTCTGTGTTGTTGTGTATCCCGAACTCTGCCTTGAAGGATGTTTACCTGAAGATCCAAAGCCAAATTTCCTTGACCGCTGACGTGTTCCCCAACTGGGAGGGAACACTCCTGTCTGGCGATTGTTGCACAGTGCCCACTCATCTATTGTCATTGTGTCTGCACGGTCTTGCCAATATACCATGCCTTGGGGCATTTTTGCCTGCAGTGTATGAGACTGGCAGTGTTAGCTAAGTCAGATGATTATCTACCATGCACGCAGTGGGTGGTGTTCCCACATGTGATGGTAGTGTCCATGTCGAAGATCTGCCATGTTTTGCAGAGGTTGCCATGACAGGGTTGTATAGTTGAGGTTGGTTGGCTCGCCGAGCTGGTTTCTTGTTTCGCAGACATTTCGTTACCATGCTTGGTAACATCCTCAATGCAGCTATGAAGAAGTATCGGTGTGTTTTCCGGCCTGGTTTTTAAATTCTGGGGTCCATTGAGATGGAACAAGAAAGCAGCTCAGCGAGCCAACCAACCTCGACACCCACAACCCGAGCTACAAATCTACTCCAAAACCTTAGAGGGTCATATAGTGTTGTGGTCGATGTTGTCCTGAAAGTTGGGTGGTTTGCTGCAAACAATGGTCTGTTTAAGGTTTAGCGGTTGTTTGAAGGCGAGAAGTGGAGGCATGGGGAAGGCCTGGGCGAGGTATTCTTGTCATCAATAATGTGTTGAAGGCTGCAAAGAACATGTGTGTACTTTCACTGCTCCTGGCAAGTATAAGACGACGAAAAGTACCCTATCAGACTTATGCCGTGTTTGTCTTTTGAGGTGGTCATTACGGTTTTTTGCTGTGGCACGTCAGAACTGGCGACTGAGGAGTTGAGCTTCATATCCTGTTCCTATGAGGGTGCCCTTCAACAGCTACAGGTGTCTGTCTCCTTCCTCCTCATTCGAACACATCCTGTCTATCCATACACCTTGTCCGTACGGAATGGCTGTTTTTATATGTTTAGTGTGGAAGCTAGAGAAGTGCAGGTTTTCCATGGGCTTGCCATAGAGTGAGGTACAGAGGTATCCGTCCCTGATGGAGATGCGTGTGTCCAAGAATGAGACTGATTCTAAAGAGTAGTCCATGGTAAGTCTGATGGTGGGATGAAACTTGTTGATATTGCTATGTAGTTGTTTCATAATTACTCGCCACAAGTCCAAAGGAAGAAAATGTGGTCAATGTATCTGGTGTATCACTTGGTTGGAGGTTCTGTGCAGCAAAGAAGTCTTGTTCAAACCTGTGCATGAAAATGATGGCATACTGGGGAGCAAATCTGGTTCCCAGGCTGTTCCATATGTCCGGATGAAGAATCGGTTGTCCAATCACAAAAACATTTCAAACATCAATATCTGCTTCCAGCCACGAAGCCAAGTTTGGATTCAACGCGTCAAATTGTCTTGAATCCCATGGGGTCTGTTTCTTAATCAGTATGCCATGTGAGACCTTGTCAAAAACCTCACTGAAGTTCACCTATATTAACTGCACCACCTTCATCTACACACCTAGTCACAATCTTAAGTGGTCTTCTATGATTTCATAAATGTATTTGAAAAGGATAGACAGTGAATGAATGTTTCTTCTTTGAAGGTACTTGACCCAATCTCCCACATGCTAACATGAGGCCTAAACTGTTCAAGGGATAAGTACTGATGCTGCTTAACTTTGGTTACATACAAAGAACTCACCAGTTTCATTTATTTCAATGCGGGAACCATTTGTTATTTTGTCCATCAACCGAATGAAGCTTGCTTCATAATCTGAAAGTATGAGGAAAGGGAGTCATACATAGCTCTAGATACAGTCAAATACAAGTTGGCAATTTAACTTTCAGTCTAGAGATTTTCACTTACATCCTTCCTTGCCAAATTTGTTTGTGACACAATTTTAGTGCGCTTCACACAGAGCTGTGATTGCTTGACCTGCTCCCAAAGCACACAGTACAAAGACTTACAAGTTTAAACTCTTGCACAAATTTTATTTACTGGTTTCTGCTGCTAGTAAAATTTTGACCCATGAGGACAGCACACAAGTCAGCGAACTTTGATCAGTAAAATTTCAACCCAGGTCACATGTCTTTCTGTTAAATAAGAGACACAAACTTTGCGTCACTATTTTGCCTGGCAGTTGGCAAAACTGGAAGACAATTTATTGCAAGTTTTCTAACACATACCCTGTAAAGTTTCCAACATTAGATGGTACGCTTTCATTTTGACTATAAGATATAGAAGCACAATTAGGCCATTTGACCCATCAAGTCTGCTTTATCGTTCGAACAGGGGGCGGAAGGGGG